ATGTGTTGGTTTGGCCCATGAAGTCAGCAGGTCTGTGCAGATAGCTCAGCTTTGGAAACCTAGTTAATGAGGTTCTACAACTTGCTGTGCTATGGAATTGGAACCAGTGCTGTTTCTCTTTGGTTTTCTTCCACGAGGCTAGCTTGTATGTGTGTTATGCCATATTTCGGGACATCAGACAGCATTGATCCTACCAGCTGGAGTATTATTGGTGTCATAAGTGAGAAATGTCAAGCTGTTGTTTAAAAACATAAATTAGCCCATGACCTTTCTGTGGGGAGCTGTCCTCTTGCCCTGCAGTGCCTCCATGTAAACTGAACCTCCCTGAAGCTTCTTTTTTGTGACAGGGGCACACTATGCTGTCTCCTGATGGGAGAAGCGTCATGTCAGGCAAGGGTGACAGGGGCTCTGGAACCTATGTGAAGATGCTAACACTAACATTGAGCACCTGAAGTATGCTTTTTATGTTTTTGTTTTAGAGCCCACACCACTCCTCTGAGAGTGGTCTTGTTTGCTTAAAGTCATAGCAGGGTACTTGCTTCTCATAGCCATTGTGTACTGTATAGTCTTCTGAATTGACAGAAAGGAAAAGCACTACAGTTTCATCATTTGGAAATTAGAGGAGTTCAAGGCTGTTCTTGGTGTTTGAGGTTAGCCTGAGCTAAATGAGAGATTGTATCTCTTAAGAAAAGAAAGAAAAGGAAAAGCACATATCTGAGGTGTAAGGTTACTGTATAAACACGATCTAGACGGACAAGGTGTAGATGAACGAAAAATATTTGTTCATTTCTTTTTGTCCCAGAGGACATGGGAAGCTTTCTGGGTGCATGCTGAAGTTGGAGAGGAAGTAACTTTGGGGAGGTCAGATTGACTTCACCATAGCCTTAGAGAGCAAGACCTGGGCAAAGTCTCAGGAAGGAGCAGCTTGGTCGTTATTTAGAGAGTTCTGCCAAGGTGTCTTCATGCACACGTACACATGTACTCCCCATGCATTGTGCCTAAGTTTGTTTTTTTGATCTTTGCTTTGGTGGATGAGGACTTGGGCCATTATCAAAGGACTGCTTAGCCTTTATTTCAGGTGGTCCAGGTGCTTTATTGCTCCTAATTTTGGTCCTCCTGTTTTTTTTTTTTTTTGTTTTTTTTTTTGGAGTTGCTCTTTGAACCATGTTCATGGTGAATATGCCATGGGGCATCAGGCTAGTCTAGGGTTTTGCCTTTGTTTTCTCTCCGTGACTGTATTTGATTAGTGTTAGTATTCGTATTCTAATAGAGTATATACCTGTGTTCCTAATTTTGTGGTTGATTTCCCCCACCCCGCCCCAGTTTTATGTTTTAAAAGTAAACATTCTTATCTCTTTGGACATTTGGTTAAAACCTTCTATTCCTTCTTTGCTGTTTTGACTCAGTGGAGAATTTTGTGCCTATGAGTTATATATTATGACCTTCTTGGATATGCAGATTCCTATCTTTCATCCAATGTGCTCAGCCTTGACTTCCTTAAATGTTTCACCTGCCCCATTCTCTCTTCTCACTTTGGGATTTGAATTTTAGGTATGCAGTTGTGCTCCGTTGTGTCCCTCAGGTCTCTTAGGCCCTGTTCCTTTTCCTTTATTATTATCTTTCTGCTCCTTATACTGGGTGATTTCAGTTTCTTGTCTTTGTGATCACTGACCCTGCCTTTCAGTTGTGCAAATCTGACTGTAAGCCCTGTGTTAGTTCCTGTCCTCATCACTGTGACCAGAAACTACCCGAAAAAAGTAGTTAAAGAAGGAAGGGTTTATTTTGGCTCATGCGTTTTAAGAGTATAGTCCACCTTGGCTAGGAAGTCATGCTGGCAGGGGTGTGAGGCAGCTGGTTGCATTGCATTTGCAGTCAGGGAGCAGAGAGAGATGAATGCTGGTGCTTTGCTCACTTTTTACCTTTTATATAATCTGGGACCCCTGCTCATGGAATGGTGTGTCCACGTTCAAAGTAAGTTCCTATCTTAGTTAACTCAGTCTAGAAACTCCATCATAGACACACCCAGATCCTTGTCACCTAAATAATTATAGATCCTGTCACATTGGGAATCAGTGTCAACCATCACCCCCTCTAGAGAACCTTCATCTAAACTGTTGACTTTCCAATTTCAGAACTTCTATTAAGTTGCTATAATTTCTATCCCTTTGTTGACATTTTCAGCTTGCTCAGGTATGGTCTTTGGTTCCCTTTGAGCATTTTAAAGCTGTGTCTGGTAAATCCAATGTCTGGGCTGCTTCAGAGATGTTTTCCGCCATGTTTGGGTTATACTTTCCTGTTCCTTTGTCTGCCTTGCAGTTTTTTTGTTTTGTTTAAAACAGAATATTTTGAATATTCTAATAGGCACCATCAGAAAAAAAGCCTCCCCACAGGCACTTACTCTTAGGAAATATTGAGGCCTGTGGTGTTCACTGTCCCAGTGATTGTATTGTTTTTGTTTACTGCAGTCTGTTCCATATCTCAGCATCAAACATGATGTGAGAGAGTATCTGTGAGTGTTTTCTTCCTTAAGCATTTCTCTGGTTATCATAAGAGCTTGATTAGTATCCAGAGTTCTGCAAAAGTTGATCCTATCAGTTTTGGCCAGCTTAGTACTTCAGCACAGAACTCTTGTTTTGCCTTGTTGCATGCCATCATCCAAAAAGGAACATTTGGATAGTGTTGTGGCACTTATCCTATGCCATATAGGATTAAATATGCAAGAGTTTGTTAGGGAAATCTTGTGAGAGAGATGGGGGTGGGGAGACAGGGAGATTGAGATCTGTCTCCATTGGCCCTGATAATACATATGTGGGATGCCTGGCATTTCAGGTCCCAGGCAACAGAGTCCCCAGTCAGGGCCATGTTGACCAGGTCTCAGAGTTGCACTGTTATTTAGTTTTTAGCATTTGTGGCATTTTGAGCTGCCAGACACCCCAGTTTGTAAGAAAATGAAGAGTGCAATGTGGCACCTTTGACTTTGCTGCTGGTGAATTGTCCTCCTCTACTTTCCTTTGAGAGAGTGCCTGTTCTGTATCTAGTTCCCTGCCCTGTAGAGGTCTTGTGGGAAGAGGACAAATCACAGTGGACCTTTGTTGAGATTGTTTAGGAAGGGTTTTTGTTTGTTTTGATTTAAAATATAAATTGAGATATTTTACCTACCTTACAGTTTACTCATTTAAATTGTAATTAAATGGATTTTGATATATTTCATTACTCCTTTCTTTTAAACTTACAGTTAAAAATATATAAAACAATTTTTGTCACAGCCATTTCCAGGCATTCTTCTCAGTAGTATTACTATGTTCTTGCTGTTGGGCAATGATTTCATACATTTGTTTCTAAAACATCTATTATTCTAAATAGACAGCCTGTCTCCCACCCCACGTAACTCCAATAGGCTTCCTGTTCCTATGTTTTTGCCCATTCTTGGGCCTTCATATAAGTACAAAATGTGTACGATATTTTGCCATTTGTGGCTGGCCTATTTCATAGAGTATAATGATCTCAAGACTCATCATACTGTAGCATGTGCAAGAATGTCTTTCTTTGTAAGGCTGAGTAATGCTCCACTTTGTTCATCTCCTGGCTATTGTGGACAGGAGATGAGCATGTCTCTTTGAGATTTGTGTTCAGGTCTGTATGCTATATCTGGCAGTAGTATTGCTAGGTCATGTGGTTCTGTTTAACTTTTAAAAGTTTGGCTTTTTTTTTTTCTTTTGTTTTTGCTTTTTGTCTGATTTTGCTTTTACTCTTCAGTCAATCATATGTGAATGTAGAGAGGTAGTAATTGGGAAACAAGTAAGAGCCTAGTGTTTTATTATGTAGCTGTAGGGATTCTTTTTGTTTTATAGGCAGATAGAATTATCTATTCTAGTTGCCATGGGTATGCTGTTGAAGGTGACCTTTGGAGCAACTGTTCCTAGAGGGCAGAGTTTTTCCATGGTGGGTCTGTCAGTTGAGGCTGGTAGTACCATGCACAGACCAGTTTTCTGCAGACTGAGTATCTCCTGTTTGGTAGAGTAGCTTTCTCATGCCTCACCCAGGCAGCTATCCAGTTCTTGTTTGCCATTTACGGTGATATAGACAGTGGGTGATCTATGTATCACACTACTTCAGAGTTCTGGGGCTGAATGGAGGGTTGAGTTCTTATTTGGGTTAAACACATCAGGAAGACTTTGTCAGTGCCAGGCAAACAGTGCTTGATGGATCATTCCTTTTCCCCTGAAGGCCTTTACTTAATGGGGAGTTTTCTTTCTTTGCCAAACATAAAAAAAGAGCCAGGCTGGAAAATAAGATGATTGTATTTATTGGTTTTATATCATAAGAGAGTACATTTGGGTTAGTGGTATGTGGTGGTGTGATAGACCTAAAGGCTTTGTCTAGCCCCTTGTATATGGAAAGCAGAAGACTTTCCTGCTTCCATATGTGGGAAACTTTCTGTACCTTTAGAGATGGCGTGCAGCACTGGCTTCATGTATCTCATAATGGCTGTGAAAAACTCTGTATCCTGCTTATATGTTGTTATTTGAGTTTTATATGACTTTAACCAGCTGCAAAGTTTCTGTATTTCTAACATCACCTGGAGGTAGAACACTGGTCAGCTTTCACTGGACATCCTCTATTGGAAATGCTGCCTGAGCAAAAGGAACCATGAACTCCTGTGCTCAGTGCCTATACATTTGGGATAAATGGTCATCTCTGTCTAGAGTATAAGGGCTTCTGGAGACCAAGAAAGGTGGAACCCTTCCCACATAGCATTTAGGGCCAGGGCTTCTGAGACTTACCCTGTAGGCACTCTGAGACTTAGGGCTTCTAGATGGTCTTTGAAAAGCCCCAGGAGTGAAGATTTGTACATGTCTGGACTCTTTGACTACTAATTTATTCACCAACCCCAGAAGCACTTTCTTAGTTTCATTGTTGCCTCAGTTGTCAACTCTTTCTTGTTGAATGTTACGGCAGAAAACTCTGAAGAATACCACAGATCTGAGGTTGGTCTTTGCTCTGTGTGTTCTCAAAGTTCACAAAAGAGTTTATTGGAAAATTAACAACATGTACATCATTTTAGGGAGTTGAATGCAAGGCTAAGTGAGAAAGTTTGCTGTGACATCGTAAACAAGTAGAATAAATGGATCATACCTTTACCAGCAATGTATTTCCCTGATGGAAATAAATTACTTGTAAAGTCAATCTCTGGATGCTTGTGGGCAGTTCAGTAAAAACTAATCACAACAATTTTTACATGTAACACTTGATGCTCAAACTGAAGATCTTTCTAGCATCAAAACACGTAACTATATTTAAAAGGAAAACAGTAAAAGTTTACTAGTTCTGAAAATAGTACATATAAAAGGTCTTTTCTCACACTGACTCACACTGCTGAGCTATTTTTCAGTTCTGTATATTTCCCTGATGTGTCACAAACAGGAAAGCCCAGTTTAATTCATCAGTCTTGGAGAGCATAAGAACTCGGATGTTTTTTAAAACCAGAAGTAGAAACACCTTTTAATATTTATTCGTAATGTTTACAAAAAACTGAACAAGATTACAGCCTTTTGTCTTTTTTTTTTGAGAAGGAAAGAGAAACTGTATTTATAAAAATTGGCTTGATAAAAAGTGAAGGTAAACTGTGGGTGTCCTGGTTGTCCCAGCACTTAGGCTGAGGCAGTAAGATCACAAGTTAGACGCCAGCTTGAGCAACATGGCAAGACTGTACCTCCTCCAAAAAAGCAAAAAAAAAAAAAAAAAAAAAAAAAGTGAAGATGCTGCTTAGAACATGGTGTAAGAGGCATCTTTTCAGCCACAGCACTGAGCGCGTGAGGTCTCAGGACACCCGGGTTCTTTTGCGTAGAGTGAGCACTCTTGGTACGGCATTGTTCAGCTTTGGCTTTTTAGTTCCTTGCTGGGATTTTCCTGCATCCCTTTGACTTGTCCTCTTTTGTCCTTTGGGTCTGAGGTCACTGTGAGCCCCCTGGTTCCCTGTGGAACTGTGGGTGGGCACGTCTTGACAGGTGGATTCCTGGGCTGTGCTCTCGTCATCGCCCACTCGGACATTCCCTGGGCTATAGGCTGCCAGCTGACAGAGCGCTACAGCTGCTGTCTGCTTCTGTTCATCACTGCTGTCTACCGTGTGTACATCTGGGGTTTTCCTGCTGTGGGCCTTGTCTTGATGTGTCTCCACATGGCTTGTCCTACCTTCAGAACCTTTTGTCTCAGTCTTGGGAGCAGCAGTAGGTTCTGCACCTTGCGGTGGGCTGGGGAAGACAGGCCTAGGAGCCCAGGCATTGCAGGAATCCTTTACAGAGAGATTGAGTGGCAGGTCTTGCAGCCCTGAGAAGCCCAGGGTGTCTGCCTGGGCATTGTCCACATACATGGGCCCATAAGTGGCTGCAGGGTTTGTCTCCAACTTCTTGGAGAGATTGAGGGGGGCTATCCTGGAGTGGTCCTCTGGGCTGGAAGGTGACGCCTCTGTGATGAGAGAGGAACTGGTTTCTATCTGGGCTGGAGAGTCACTGTTCATGGCCTGAAGGCTAGAAGAAATCAAGAGAAATCTTAGGAAAATGATCATGTAAAGCATTTTGAGCAAGTGTAAACTTGGTGTTGAGCAAAATTACATTGAAGATTTTGAAAAATAAGTTTTCTTACCTTTTTGGAGACTCTGCTCTGTTTGCAGGAGGCTGAGAGTGAGGACTTTCTGAGCTCCTCTGGACAGGTTTGAAGGCAGTGGGGCTCTGCTCAGGCTGCTGGAGTCGTTCCAGGGTTCCCGAGGAGGCTGCTTTGTTTGAGAGGTCACACAAGCCTTCAAATGTTTGACTTGTTTGAGTGAAATTGGTAGGGCTTGGTCTTCCTGGGGAGCCTGTGGCAGCGCTCCCTGCTCGGGGGCTCATTTTCGCCTCCTCTGCATCCCTTTGCCCGTCTTTAGAAGGATCTTTTGCCTCAGGAACTGGACTTTCCTTCTCAAACTCCATGTGTTTTCTGTGGGAGTTTGAAAGATTTAACTCGGAGGGACTCGAGGCTGGGTAAGCCAGGGCTGCTCCTTCAAACAGGCGAGAGCTCTGATCTCTTGTGATACCAGTGACAGGTGGGAGCCTGAGACTGTAGGAGGGAAATGCAGACTCTGGTCTGTAAAATCCATAAGGAATTGGCAGATTTGAGTGATATTGCTGGAAAAATCTGTAGTGGTCATATGTTGATGGAGTTGTGTTCAAGTGCTTGGGGATTGGTCCAGGATGAGACAGGAAGTGTCTTTGATCTTGGGACCCATAGACAGACAGCAAAGTGGTGTCACACTCAGGTGTGTTCCCAGTCAGGAGGTAGGGGGAATAGATGGCAGTCAGCCCATGCTCTGTATAAAAGGGATGGGGGTACTCTGGGATTGCAGGGTGCATATAGGGGGAGATAGCACCAAACCCCTTTGAAGATGGGATTTTATGTGGAAACTCTGGTGGCAGAAATGGGGAGCCAGCTTTCCAGGGGTAACCAGGAGTATGGAATGCAGACTTGGCATGAAAAGAGGTGGCTTTGGTGGTGGAGCTGGTTAATGCCAGCATTTCAGAAGCCTCTGTGTCTTCTGGTCCCCTAAGTCTGTGCTCCCCAACTGGAACAAATGCTGAAGATCTAGCCCCACTGTCTAGGCCAGGCTGGGTGCTAAGAATGGCTTCTGATGTCACTTCTTTCTGTAGGGCTGTTTTCTGGGGACCCTTGTGGGTCCCCCGGGCCTGCATTTCTAGGTTCTCTTTGGCCTCTTCCTTTGCAGAGCCCTGCTGAGACTTTGGATCAAAGCTGGAGAGTCCATTTGGGAGAGACTTGGAAGTGACTGGCTTTGAGGTGGGCTCTGGCTGGTGGGTCTGCTTAGGGTCCAGTGAAGTAGATTTGGGACACTTGGGAACACGATCTTGCTCTGACACTAAAGTAATAGAGTTTTTACAGAGACCGTACTTCATGTGATTGAAAAGATGTGACTTCTCATTGCATGTAAAAGGACACTGGAAGCATTTGTACTTGAATGGCTTTCCTGGGGGCCGTGGAATATAGTGTGGCTTTTTTGGTTTCCGTTCCTTTAGGAGACTCATTGTCCTTTGTATTTGGAGTCTGGTCTGCTCAGTGTGTGGTCACTGCTGACTCTTCTTTGACCAGGATGTCGTTGGTGGCTTTGAAGGAGGGAGTACTGGTCTTCTTTCTTGCTTTGAGTACTCTATTTGGAGCCAGCTCTGTGAGTTGAGGGCCTAACAAGGAAAACTCCTTCCATCTGGCACCTAAAGCTGTGAAGGCAGACAGAGATTGGTTGGTGTCAGGCACAGTTAGTGGGTCATTGTCTGCATTGTCCCACTAAAGACAGACAAGGTGCCTAGTGTTTTTAGAGAGCTGGTGACACCTGTGCCCCTGCTAGTCTGCTCTGCTGGCAACCAGCTTCCTGTGATCTTTTCTCAAGCCTGACCTGCAAGCACTGCCTGGGGACCAAGAAAGCAGTGTCAAAGGTGATCTTTTGAGTTTTGGGGACCTTTATTCTACAGTTTGGACTTTTCCTTGGTCCATTTCTGTGGGGTTTCAGATAGGATTCTGTACTACAGCCTCCCTTCCTGAGTGCTCTATAGGAGCAGGCATTTAGTGAATATGTAAGATTAAGTGCTACAAGGCAGGTTGGCCCTGTTTAGCTATGCTGACATTTTGTGTATGAATGTTTAAAAATGGAGAATATTTAAGACATAGGACTTCAATCACAAATGAAAGCCAGCTTTATCAACAAGTATACTTTTTTGAGGGTGCTGGTGATGCTCAGGTCCATAGCTTCATACATGCTGGGTAAATGTTCTATCACTGAACTACATCCTTATCCCTAGTGAGTAGCATTTACGTTAGCTCAAAAAATGTGAATGCTTTATTTCAGTCAATTGAGTTTGCAGTGCTGTTAAAATATTTGCAAGTCCCGAGTGACTTTATGACCTGCCACTCATCAGTGTTTGGGAATAAACTCAGATTTGCCTTTCCTTTCCATGTATATATATATTTATTTATATCCATGGTATCCATGTAGAGGGTGGAAATCATTTTGCCTCAGGTGTCTCTTGTATCCAGACCTTACAGTATTTCCTAACTCAAAGCTGAGTACCCAGTGAAACGGCCTGCCTAGACATCTGGGGTGACTCCAGATGGAGCTTGGGTATATGGTGAAGAATTTAGTCCAGGCACCTTAATTTGTATAGAGTAGATAAAAAGGGAAAGATCTCCTGCTAAGCATCTTAAACACTTAAAAATAACATTCAGTGGAAATTATTTAAGAAAAGTGTTCTCGGCTTTAAAACTAAGTTTGTGAGAAAGGTATAAAGCTGCGCCCTCTAGACCTAGCCAGACACTCATCTGTAAGCCAGACCCTTAGAAACAGAACCAGCCACCAAAGTCTTACACCTAAGTCCTCACTCTTGTCTGTCTTCCTGACCTCAGTGTGCATGTGTATAGTGGGCAGTGGGATGGAGTGACCAGCTACTAGAGCAGGCCCTTTATTTCTACTTTGTATGCTTTGTATTCTGAGGATGCTATCTGGTTTTGCTTCTAATGTATTTTTCTCTCTCTCTGTGTGTGTGTGTGTATATGATATATAATATATAAAAATAAATTATACATAAATGTGTACATATATATATTAAACACAAAGAACTATGCCCAGCACTGTGGTGCACACCTGCAATTCTGTCATGTAGGGGAGGCTAAGGCAAAGGGTCTCAGATTCAAGACTTGCCTGTGCTGCTTAGCAAAAAAATTTTTTTTCTCAAAACAACAGGAACCAGCCCACAAAGAGCTACCATACCCTATTACCAGCTACCCTATTATCATAGTTTAGGGTTATTTTGTTAAATAGTTGCTTGGGAGAACAGTGGCTCAGCCGATACTGAAAGTAGTCCACTGCGAGTGTCTGCATAGCAGTGACTGAAGCACAGATTTTAGATAAGAATGAAGGTGCCCCATGGCTAGGAGGAAGTGAAGGTCCTAGGCTTCTTTTGGGGATATGGGAGACAAAGCTGTCAAAGGGGACCCTGCCTGGACTACACTTTTGCTGCAGAAGCTACAAGGTACCCTGTCAAAGCCGATCATATTAAAAGTAATAGCCTTGTGATTTTCTCTTTTCTGTCTTATTAAAAGGAAAATGTAAAGAAATTCTCTGCGGGCCTGACTTGTACCTGGAGTGCATTTTCCCTGCCTCTGTCAGGGAACCCGAGAAGCCTTGTCTGACTAGCTGATGAAGGCAGCTCGATAAGTCAGTGGGGCCTGTGCTGGCATGCTCATTACACTCTTGATTCTGAAGGCGTGAGAACCTCTGCAAGACAGGTTCCCATGGCTGTATAGGATATGTCATGGCACAGATCTGAGAGAGATGATTTCATCACTAACTGGGAGCATCATGATCAAAATGATGACAGTTGCAAACATTTATCGAGTGTAAGCTACTTCCCAGTTGCTGAGTATGGACACGGACACTGTACTGTGTGTATTGGACAAGCTAGAAAGGCCCTTCTAGATGTAAGGAAATGGGCCTTTGGAAGCAATTTTAGTGAATGCTACTGATGGTTTGGGGCAGAAGAAGTAAGCACACCAGTATTGAACACCTACAGTGGTTAAATAAGCACACTGTCATGGTAAGGTTTTCTTATGTCTTACAGGAGGCAAGTAGTTTAAAAAAATCACCATATGTTATCCTAAAGAGTAACTTAGGAAATAATTGCTATTATATATGTATAAAGGTTTTATATATGTTATATATTAAATTATTAAAATATAATATATATTAAAGTGCTATCTGAAGTTTTGGTTTGAACCTTTTGCCTTTTTATTTTTTGACCTACAAATCCTCAGGACAGTGAGCAGGTTGAGTGGGATATGCCCCAGTGGCTCTTGTGCAAGGGTTCTAGAGTGAGACTGTTTACTGAGGCTTATTAAAACTGGACGGGAATGAGTATAAAAATGGAGGCTCAGCTGTAGTAGTTTCAGTAACTTTGGATAAACTGACCCCTCAGGATTTCACAATTGCTAATTAAGGCAGAGCACTCACTGCTTGGAGGCAGGTGTAAGGCGGGTGTAACTCATCTATAAAACTACTGTGTTAGAGAAGTAAGTGGGATAAAATTGATGCTTTTGTAAGCTTTCGAATGATGATGTCAGCCTGTGAGTTCTCTGTCCTACCCAAGTGAGGTTTATGAGTATGAAGAAAGTAACTCACAGCTATGACTACAGCCAGGCACATATGTCTGTGGGCATGGAGGCTTACAGTAAGTCCTGCTTGGTCAGTTTATACCTGCTGGACTTTGTACTGTCTGGCAGCTGCTAGTGTTAAATATTCCCAAAAGTGCACATTGTTGCCAAAACAGTAAAGCCTAGAACTTTGACTGTTTACAGTAAGTTTGGATTTGTATTCAAAGATGAAGCTCTTCCTAAAGGTAGTAAGAAGGGTATGTGGCTGTCTCTTTTTTGGGGCGTGCCTGTTACTACCTTGGGAATACATCTCTGGAAGGCTGTATGTGGAGCCATGGCTGTCTGAGATCTGTAGTGTTAGCATGTTTGATGCTGACACAATCCCAGACGAGTTTTACCTAGCACCTTATCCTCTTTCCTTTCACTTCCCATATGATAGTTAGGGGGTTCACGAGGGTGTCTTCCCACAGACACCAGCCTGGATCAAGGGCTGTTGGCAGGGAGCTTCCAGGCATCCTCTGTTTTCTTGGGGAAGCCCTGTTTCCCAACATGCCTGCCCAGACCACCTTGGCTTGAGACTTACTTCTCTGAATCATCCTGGGATGCAGCAGAAACTTATCTACACTAGTACAGTGACCTAAGATCATGTACAGTGTCCAGCTTAAGATCTGTAAAATCTGTCCTAATTTTTCTGCTGACATATATCAGCTGTGTGACGAGATTTGAATAGCTCTTATATTCAACTGCTCGACTTTGCCTTTGGAAAGGGCCCTGGGCTGAGAGCACCTTCCCTCTGCCCACAGTGTGCCATCCGGGATACCTGCCCACACAGTGAGAATTGTGTGGTTTCGGTTGGCCACAGAGTTCTGTTTGTCTTTAAAGCACTTAGCAGATCCCTAAGTGTGGACAGGTAATGTAGCTGCTGGTGTCAGGGTGACAGTGAGTGGCTGGCGTGTTTTAAAAGTTTCTAAGGGGCTTGTACTTAGAAAACAGATAAGAGAAAGAGTAATTTAAAAAGAACTCTGGTAGGACACAATGGAGGTAATTACAGCTTTGCTTTATAGGACAGCGGTGTGACAGGCTAGGTAGCTATGTTTGTCCTGCGAATTGACCTGCAAATCAAGACAGTGCTGTAATATTCCTTCTGGTGGTGTCCAGCTGTCTGGCACAGAGCCTCGCAGGTGGAACATCGTGAAGGGCATGCTATAATTACAGCACTGTGATGTGGCATTATTGCACCACTCAAGGGCACGCCACTGTCGTCTACCCACTGGGGTGTCGCAAGAACGAGATTTGTGAGTTTTAGTTGAGTTGAGCTTTTGCGGTGACTGGCCGCCACTCCCTTCCAAACTTTCTGTTCTTTAAGATGAAGGTGAATGTAGGACGGCCACAACCTTAGAGGAAAGCAGTTTTCTAGAGTGTTTTTGGAAGAAAAGATCCAGAAAACAACTGGGTTCTGTTGTGTTCGCACACAGTACACACACAGCTCCCAGGCCATTGTTGTACCAGAGATCACCTTGCCTCATGGTTCCTTAACACACATTCTAAAATTCCAGAGAACCTTTGCTAATGCTCAGAAAACACTAGAACAACAAATGTAGGTGGTTATGCTTAAATGAAATATGATTTGGCTGATTATTTGATCAGTAATTATTTTCATACAGATTTATGGGAAATTTCATATAGGAAAAATATCCTCCCCCTTCTTGCCCCATGTATGTAACCTTAACAACCAAACAGAAACTTGAACTTTGTTGGCTTCTTGTCTTTGAAAGGATTTGTTAAGGCAACACTTAACTTTAAATTTGATGAGTTTTAGGTATTAAGTTAGAAATGAAAACCAGCAGTTGTATAGTTACATTTCTACATACATATGATTTTTGCCTCTTTTATGTTGAAATTTATTATAATTTCTTTGAAAAGTAGGGGGAAAAGCATAGATTCATGTTTTGGTTTATTTTTAAAATAAATTTTATAGCAGAAAAGAGGGCTTGATTTCTAAATAAGCTTGCCTATGTTCTTGGAATAAAGTATCAGCCCCATTAGGAGTTTTGTAATTGTGGTCTGCATCTCCAAAATGCACCTGCCAGGTTCTGAGTAATCCTTAGGGAATAGAGCAGGAAAGAACAGACAACAGCAAGTGATTTACTTAGCTAGATACCTCAAGACACATTGTAGAGTAGTTTTGAAAGAAAACTTGAAGAAATTGTAAGCACTTACCCGAGGTGGACAGTGCTGGGATGCGGAGTCTTCCGTGCAAGGTGCCGAGGGCTGAGGAGCAGGATCTGTTCTCACGCTGGCTCGCTGGCTCGGTGAAACTGGAGCCGGCTGTTCCAGTGGGAGGGATTTAAGTGTAGGAGTTGAGCCCTCAGGGCGTAGAGATGCACCTGATATTCCTCCGCCTGCAGCTACAATTCATGTGTTTGCACCCACTGAGCTCTACGCAGCCTCACTGAGCAGGGACCCAGAGAGTCCCGTGCCACTCCAGGTGCCCCTTAGGACCCTAAGTTCACTGTGTGTGGGGGTTCCTGTCAGGGCTGTCCAGTTGCAGGGGAGACAGGGTCCCAGGATGCAGACTATAGTGCTGATGTGCTTCTCTTGTAAGTAAGCTTTGATGTGCGTTAAAGATTCAGGTATAGAACGTCCCCATTCACTACTCCAGCACATGTACATAGCAGCAGAGGAACACACATTTATCTTGAAATACATGTCACCAAAGACAACACTAATAGTGTTTTTGTTGTGAGGGCAAGAGAAGTGTCTGATCACCTTTGTGATTTTCACCCTGTCCAAGGATTTTTGTTGAGGTCACCCCGAGAACCAGGGTGGCAAAGAGGGTGCTAAACTTGCTGCCCTGTCACAGGAACCTGCCAGAACATGCCCAGGGCCTGCACTGGTGGTGGAGCTGACATGTGCTGTCTGTCATTCGGGCGTCAGCAGTGCACACCCTCACACCCCCTCTTGAAGCCATGAATTAGATTTTTAATTTTGGAGTTATTCTATTCCCCTAACCCATTTACCTATTTGCTCTGAGGCTTGTGCAGGCTTCAGTGAAGGCTAGAATGTGATGTCAGTTTGGGGACAGGGAAAGGACAGCGTGGTGGTTGCCAGGGTCTTGGTCTTACCTGAAGCTGCTAGCAAGGGCTAGAGCAACAAAAACACAAAGGACAGGCTCCCTAGGGTTGGAGCACTGGTGCTCTCCTCCAGCCTATTTAAGACAAGATTTTACTTGGCTTCACCTTTATGTTTAATTCTTTTGTTGTTGTTGTTGTTTGTTTTTAGATTTATTTTATACATATGAGTGTTTTGTCTGCATGTATATACATGTACCATATACTTGTGTGGTGCCCACAGAGACTAGAAGAGGGTATCAGATCGTTCAGAACTGGAGCCACAGATAGTTGTGAGCCACTATGTAGGTGCCAGGAATCGAACATGGGTTCTCTGGAAGTACGGCCAGTGCTCCCAACCTCTGAGCTACCTTTTCAGCCCCTATGTTTGATTCCTCCAGTTATTTTTGTCTTATATGAAGGGTCAAAAGCAGATGTAATCTTATTGTAAGAACAGCAATTCCCTAGGCTTCCTCACATCTCTTTCTGGGTAGCAAGTTGCCTTACACTCTGTCTGGAGACAGTGACCAGTTTGTTACATCTGTGGTTTTGGAAGAAGTCTGGACAGGACTCCTGGGGCAGGGATTCTACTCTGTACTGTTTACTGAGGCTCCCCAGTATGGTGAAGTCCCCTAGCTGCTCTGCTTCTGTAGAGGACTCCACAGAAGATAATGGCCTTTGGACGTCTCAGGACCCCAAGACAGCAAAATGGAGAGGCCAGGCTGAGAATTATCTTAATGCCATTTCTGTTGCACTTCTCTTGCTGAGCAGTTGGGGCAAGCTGAGTGCAAGGGATGGATGGTTAGTAGGAAGTCACTGGATGTTTTACTCCTTTCTCCCCACTCCCCGAGTAGAGTAGTTGGTATTTATTTACTCCTTGATTCTAATTTGCAATCCTGATTTCATGTGTTTTCAAAGTTGACTCCCTTAGCCGCAAAAGAGGCTTAACTCTTCTGCCTCTGTGTCGCCTCCCACACCCTCCTGGGGGCTCTGCCTCCTTCCTAGGTGGGGACTATGCTAGAATCCATGCTACCTTCCCACTTAGCTCAGCCCTGTCTTTGCTGCTGTATAGTTTCTGCATTTCCTCCCCTCTTTTCTAACCACCTGTGTGTTTTGTTTTCTGCATTTCATAGTCAGGGTGGACAATGCTACAATCAACCCCTAACATAACTTGAACAGACATATTGACTTAATGTTATTTTAAAGTGCTTCCTTCAATGGAGAGTCCTCATGCAGCCAAGTGTGGCATTTAATGGGCATTGACTGTTTTGAGGCCCAGCCTTGCCACCATTTTCTTATGTGGCTTGGCAGCTGTGGACCGATGGCATCCAGATGCTCTGGATTTTGATTAAGGGCAATCTCTGGCTTTATGAGCGCATTGCAGTTGCCTCTTCTTTCTCCTTAGATTCTCAATTTCTTTAATTGTATCTTCTGACATTTCCATGCAACATATTCCACAGTCAGGATCTCTGGTTTCTGGGGGTTGTGAGTAACCTTGTTTTGATACCTTGTTCTAAGTGCTCTGAATATTCCAGTGATGGTTTCTGCCAGAATTGGAGGGCTTCAGGACTTTGTGCAGAGATTCAACTCTGTCTCCTGCAGGGCAGGGCTTCTGTAGTGCTCCTGATTGAAAGAAATCCTAGAGCTGTTGGTGACCAAGACCTTGGGCTTTTTATGAACTTGATGTGTAGGGAGTGGCTGGACTGCCTTTGGTCCCTCACCAAATGTGCTTGTTCCTCTTGCAATGTTCCCTATCCTCTTTGACCTCATAGCTTATTCCTTATGAAGTGAAGGTGGGTCTGGAGAGATAGCTTAACAGTTAAAAGCACTGGTTGCTCTATTGGTAGACTTAGGTTCTATTCCTAGCACCTACACAGTGACTCAACCATCTAAAGCTACTGTCCAAGGGGATCTGATGCCCTCTTCTGGCCTCTGAGGGCACCAGCCATGTACATGGCACATAATCATACATGCAGGAAAAACACCTATAGACATAAGAAGAAGAAGGTCTTTCCAGTTATTCTTAGTGAGGGGTAAACCCTTATGTTTGGTCTCAGTATTTTACATGACCTAGATATCTTGATGAAGTTTCTGAGAAGTAAGTGAAATCGTAGGGGAGAGAACTGGTAGTGGCAATTAGTGTTTACTGAGCATCTTCCATGTGGGTCCTTGTGCTGAATGCCACTTGCATCATCCTTTGTAGTCACAGGAACTGCTATGCACCTGCTTTACAAGAGTTAAATGAGCACAGAGGGGTTAAGTAACTTGACCCAGGAACCTAGTCTGGTAGGTAACAATTTCATCATGTGGCAGGGGAGGTAAGCTGGGATATAGAGTAGGTGTCCGGGGCAGCTGCCTCGTGAGCAGCAGCATCCCAACTGAATGCAGGTAGGTGCCATTGGGTACAGGTACTGCTATGAGTTTGGTCAGCTGTGTCAGAGCTATTTTTCCTGGGTTCCTGTTGAAGCCATCTGAGGGACACTTCCCTACACTGCAGGGTATGGAAGGCAAGCAGTATGGTCACATGTAACATAAGTATTACTCCATGGCATGGCTTGGCTTTTAGCTTCCTTCCTATCCCTCAAACATCTTTCTACCTGTGCTTGAGCTAAACTGAGTCTCCTTTGATGCAACACAGGGGTGTACAATATGTAAGAGGGTTATAGCACAGGCTTTGCCAAGTCTGGTGAGTCACTTCACACAGCAGCCTCTCTCAGAAAACATCTATGAAGAAGGAAGGGGAATCACTTTATATTTCTGCCCTCCTTATAAGAAATCACAAGATGATTTTTTCCTGTAATTTTTTTTTGTGCTCCTTTTTTGTGAGGAACATCTGGGAAGTAAAAAGGAAATGAAAATTGCTATATTGATATTACAAGTTTGGTTTCAGTTTCCTAGTGCCCTGCAGTGCCCCAGGGGCAGGTCTGGGCAGCAGGCAGCTCAGGTCTCCCCTGAACTTGAGCTCTGTCCTGGTGACATGATTGAGACAGGAGTACAGGGTCCCTTGAGTGGCAGGAGAAGGACAACAGCATCCTCCTGCCCAGTTCCAGATTCTGGGGGAGTGTACAGGGTTCTGGGATTTGGGGCAGTCTTGTACTCCTAAGCTTTTAAGAGGAGTAACAGAAGGCTCAGGGCCTGTCCCATGTCTTAGTAAGTCTGTCTTTGGCTTTGCCTCGAAGACTTCTTTCCCACTGAAGAGGGTGTCTCTTAGGGTTTCTTGATTGGAATTCCTTTTCAGTTAGGATTGTATCAGTGAGAGACTATCCATGGAAACAAGTTATTTTGCTAAATCTCCTAAGAGTTCTGGTGTTGAGCTAGTTCTGAGGTAATGGATGGCCCCTTCCCAGCATCCCTTCCTTCCCTTCCCAAGCCTTCTTCCTATTCCATCTCTGTTAAAGTAAGTCCTGGCTGGACTGTGAAAAGTTCTGTTCCCAGTGGTCTGGACACTTTCCTAGATTTGGGTTTGGCCCTAGGCACTGCTCTTGTTTGCTCAAAGCCATTGGCTAGATCTGGAGCTATAGCCCAGGGGGTAAGTGCTGCTGTTCAATAGTAGACAGAACTGTTCAGGGTTTCTGCAGGCCCAGCAGGGCATCTGGCCAAGATGGGGAGGAGCCACCTCCCTCCCTTCTTGCTTATTCCTAGAACCTATCCAGGAGGGTGGGCCAGATGTGGATTATGATCACTGATCACTGGCCAGTGAAGTCTGTTCCCATCTCACAGCCTTAGGGGTCCTCACCTGCCATAGTCAGGAGGTGGACATGTTAATGGAGCCCTTAGTGCTTCTTGCAGTCTGTAGGACTCAGATGTGTCAAACCTTTTGACATTGGAATACGATATTCTTGTCTACAGAGTTTATGCTCAAGAACCTGTAATTGAATTACCAAAGCAGAACAACAGCAACAAAACCCTTCAATGTCTTAAGTAGTTTTACAATTTCATGTAGGTCTGAGACTGCATTTGTCACTCTTCTTGGCTGTGCACATTCCTTGGGCTGTAGGTTGGACATGCCTGGTAGGTGGTGTACTTGGTTTCTCATTTTAAACAAAACTAAGAATACCAATGGATTTTATTCACCTATTTGGCAATGCAGAATAAGCTGGACAGTTCTAGAGAGACAGGGCTAAAGTATGTTAGAAAGATTTATTGTTGGTCCTTTCCTTTCCTGAGAGGGGTAAATGTAGAGCTTTAGGAAACCTGAAGGCTCAGATGGTGATACTATCACTTAAGTTTTAGTTTCTTTATTAAG